ATTGACCAGCTTGAATAGCGACACAGCAAAGACTCATCGGTGCATAGAAGGCCAGCGTTCTTGATATTGATAAATGAGTGGTGATTTACCGTTGCAACATACCCCCTTCCCACCCCCCTTCTCTTAGCCGAGCTCTCCTTGTTATCACGTACTTATTCTCATTCAAAGTTACTCACGCAAAACAAATTGTCACCTCTAGCAGCGGGGATAAAGTTGGAAACCTCGCCGAAACCTCCAATATTGTGATTAACGTCTGACATTGCATCTGCAAAATCAATCCACCGATCCCCTATACCTTTCCAAATCGGACCAATTCCTGAACTCACACTCATTGAGGCGTTGAGATACTCAGTCTCGATCGCCACGTGCATTCGAGAAGAAGGAGAGATTTATGCCATGTTTACCTTCGTGCGGACTAAAGCGAAGATGCTGCCTGTGTACACATGGTCAGAGTATCCAATTATCCGGCTTGCAGTTCAACAATCCCAAACTTTGAAAGATTCGGATCCTTTTACACGTTGGAAAATAAAATCCAATTGCGGTCCGGATATCAGAACCCTAAGTCCAATCGAAGGAAAGAAAGCTCTAGGAATTGATCTTGGATTGAAGTGCTAATAGACTTGAGTTTGATGGAGGTTGCATACGGCCAGTCAAATGACATAACAATAACCAACTTCGTGCGCAATGATTCATGGTCGGTTCTCCAGCGAACAGATGAGAGCCAGAAGGCCGAGTCATCGAAGGCCGACTACAATCTATCTAACAGCTTGGACAAATTCACGTGAAGTATTGGAAACTCAGGCTTAATAATTGGGGAACTGGGCTTCTTCGCTGTTCATATTTCTACTGAATATTGGAAGTACTTATATGGCGCGCCAAGGACATGTGCCTCTTCTCCTTTCTCAAACTCCAGAACTGGATATCTAATACAGCTCTATTATCGTATCATAGACCACCCCCATTTCCTTATGATACATAAATTACTTGTACAATGCCGAACCTCACCATATGCCAAACCACAAAATTGCGATAGGCCTCTTAGACGCCCCCTAATATTTAATCTTAAACTCAGAAAATCAAAATGCCAAAATAACGCCTACCATTGCTATCGTAGGTTAGTCTCGTAGCCTTGAATTACAGAACAATAATCTGGTCAGTTTCTCATCAAATTAGCAAACACTGTGACCTTTTCTATCTCAACTTCAGGCCCACTAGCAGGCTTTACGGTACCCTTAGGAAGGGCTGCAATCAATTCAACTTCAATCTTGTTAACACCAGGAACAAGTCGAGCTTCAAAAAGAGGTTGTCTGGGATCGACTCCATGATTTGGTATGAGTGGTATAGCATGCAATCTAGTTACTCCAGACGTAACAAAGATCTTATATTGACGCTCGAGTAAAGCTTGAGCGATTGTTGGTTTGATTTGAAGATAATAATGCGTCGAAGGAAGGTTGATCGTGATAGATTGTTGCGCCAATGTTGCGGATGGGGGTAAATCCATATGGAAATGACGAGAAACATTAAGACGTGGATGAGTTGCAATACTAAGATTTGTGATCATAGCATGAGAAGCATCTAAATTTTGTTAGCACTGTAGCTGAGTACAAGAAAAATTATACTCACTTTTTCCTGGTGCCCTGAATTTGGAATCAAAACCAAGATTTGCGGGTTGGTGATTAAATGATTGTGCATAGCCACCTTGATTATATGAGTTTTGATTAGATGCATTGGGTGTATTTGGTGGGAGCATATTACTTGGAGCCGGTGTTGGCGTCGAACCGGTTTGATTGATGGGCCTTGGAGTGGATTGCATTGGCGCAGGCGAATTGCGCAAAGCTTCCTCGCCTTTTACAAGTACACTTTTAGAAAGGGTTGGAGATGCTGCAGAATTTGACATACTCCTAGCTCTTTCTAACTGGTCTAGTCTTGGAGCAGGCGTCGCAACTGAGTGGGAACCACCGAATGGGTTTCTACGGGTTTCGCTGTTGGAAGAGGCTGTAGAAGCTACAGTTCCGTTGGAACCACTAGTTAATGGAGCCGGTGAGTCCGCTGCTTTGGCAACTCCGACTCTCAAAGTGATCTTCGGGGTAGGTTCGGGAGCTTTAACATTAATTTTTATCTTTGGAATCACGGGCTCGGGCACAACTTTCTTGGCTTCTTCCAAAGTTTTCTTGAAAAAGATCTGACAAATATTAATAAAGAAGTGGTAAATCAGAAGGCGGTTACATACCTCAAGATCTCTTGCTAAATTGAAGATTTCACTTCCGTCTTCATTATAGTGATATGCATTCTTCCATATCAAACTTGCATCTTCTTCAAGCGCAGCCCATGACTTAAAATCGCTCACACCCGTGGCATGCTTTCCCCCAAAAGTTCCTTTGACACGCTTTTGCAAATCCTTCAAGCAGTGTGGGTTTGGAATCACTTGATAATAGTCCTTCAGACTACGTGGAGGTAATGTAACAAATGGTTCAAACTCAAAGAAGTCATCACTGATTTGTGTGTTAGCGTAGGTCAATAGCGTGATTCATTTTACTTACGATGGGTCTTCTTTATGTGAGAGAACATCTGCTAAAATCTTCTCTTGCGCTTGTTGGAAACTAAGTCCCGCAAAGCTGATACCGGCATATTGTGAGTCGGACACAGCGGGAGTAGTGCTCTTACGTGGTGCCAAGGGATTCTTTGGGGGCCGACCTCTTCGTTTTACGACTGGTTGTGGCTCAATCTTTATTTCTTCCGCCTCAAAATCTTCCGGCTCCCCTTCCGCATCTATATCACTATCATCTTGCACAATCGGTACAGGCGTGGGCTCAACATGCTTAGGATGTGCTGGTATAGACCCAGCAGGTTTAGAATCCGGGTTATATTCGATTGGTTCGAGAACTTCAATAGGCGTAGGTTCTAACTTCATCCCCGGATTTGTCTTATATTCCGGATTATTGTCCGTCATAAATTTGACCACTGCCTTTCGTATCCGTTCAGCATCGCGATGGATTATAGATTCTCGTTCATTGTAATCCTTTGCATTTTTTACCAAACGCTTGAAGAAACTCTCAAGTTCAGATAAAGTAGCAAAGGCAAAATTGTCCAATTTTTCTTGAATAGTGTCAAAGGCGATTGGCATCTTCGTAACGGCATAATAGGCGGCAAATTCTTTTCTATCGGGGAGGGTGAGGAAATTGGTCGCGAAAGGTCGTCCCCTATAAAAAGATAAAGCTATTAGTGGGCTGGACTGAAGATCGAAGGAGTTGTATTAAATTGTGAATTTAGAGCAATGGAGGTGATAATCGTGGTGGTAGTCAAATGTGCGTACACGACGACCCCTCCATCGCATACCAAAGATTGGTGAGATAGCAGATCTATCGCGAAAAGAAATCATTAGAGAGAGGTTAACTTACTGTTTATCCAGACCTGTCCTCAGTTGATTCAAAAGTATCAATCCATAATAAGTTGTTGTTTCTGGTGTCTGGCCTTGGCTTAGATCACCATTCTATTCATTGTTAGTCTCGTTCTCTTGTCATTTTCGCATTCATAGTATTTATGAAGAATGATTGACAGAAAGTATAAGAAGAAGTGGTTGTGCGCCGGCTCACTTCCCTGGCCGCCAATGGAGAAAGAGCTGGTAGTTATTTAAACCCCACGAGCAATGTACCCAAACTTTTGAATCTTCTTTCTTACATCGAATTGCAACACAATCAACAACGAAATAGGCGCAAACTTACAATGGGAAGCTTTCTTCTCTTCGCAGCGCGATCCGCATCATCTTGATCCGCAATACTATCACCATTAACCTTTCTCTTTGGATCCATCTTATTATCGTTTTGTGCCGTGCCGTATTGTGTTGTATCGTACGGTACGATTTCGTATGACTCCTCGTGTACCTTTTCGCAGATGTACTTGAATCAAAACTGCGAATTGATGCGAAATTCCAATGAAGAATGCGGACGCGTCAAAGCCGAATATGCGCGTTCTGAAGCTTTACAAACTTCGAAGTACTGATGGGGAGATATGCAGGGGTAATGATCTTTTGATTTGGCTGCTCCGATTTACAACGCAACAAGGATGAAGATACGATAATGATCAATGAGATCCCTTATATTTGAGTATGGGATGAGTATCATGAAAAACTGGAATTCCAGTGAATTTCTTTGGAAATCAATGTTGGAGAGGTTTGTTTTAAGGAAAGTTGTATTTGTAGTCTCAACTCAACTCAATCAATCAACAGTTTCCAACATCCAGTGAAGCGATAAATCATACAGAGAGTCCTGGCAATGAATTGGAATCGGAGGGCTGTATCACATGACAGTTCGAGAGAAGGTAAGCATGCCTTAGGCGCAAACTACAAATCTTGTCCTGCCACCTGCGCTGGTGGTTTGATTGGACATGTGTAATGAATGGAACAAGGCTGAACTTCAGCCTCTTTGACAAGGCTGGACTCCACTTTACACCAACAACTAAGAAGTCACCGAACTTTTTACTAAGACCTTTTCTATTTGTTTACACCACCACCCCCCTCCCGAGTCCACTTCTGATATCCCAATAACAAAATAAACACTTTCGCAACTTAAATCAATCAACTCAATTTCACAACCAACACGTCACATACAATACACAAATACACAAGTTATTTGCAGTCACTACAATTTGCTTGAGGAACCATTTTGTCTTCAATCAATTACAATTTATCAACCAGTTTTTCCAATACTTCCCTCTGCTTTCCGCATATAGTTTTCTTCACCGCAAAAGAAGCGCAATCTAAAGCCAATCAACCCCTCGACGCCTTTCTACATCGAATACCATATACATTTGCGCCGGCGCCAATCATATAATTGTCATCGGTCTCGACAATACAAGATCTCATATACCACAGAACAATCATCCAACCTCCGAGTCTGTCGATTCAACCTTCAAAATACTCTCTGTCGCGTTGTTGCCCCACCTATACGTTTGACCATATTCATCAATCGCGACTCCAAGAATAGAGTAGAACTCTGAGCACAATGGCCGAAATAGACTATACCAGAAGAAACAAGTACGCGAGACCACTTTCCGAGGCCGAGAAGGAGCGTTTGGATGAATTTATTGATGCAATTCATTATTCCGCAAGGTCAGTACAAGCTATGGCGCAAACCTTGAGTCCAAATCCTTCCATCGCGCAAACACTGATTCATTCTTATAGATACTCCGACGATCAATACGAGTACCGACATGTTCAACTACCAAAAGCTATGCTGAAAGTTATCCCAAAGGAATACCATGATCCCCAAACTGGTACCTTGAAGCTATTGTGGGAGGAAGAATGGAGAGCATTGGGAATAACACAGGTATGTAGAGAAAAGTTGAATACGGAAAGAAATGGGACTGATCAGGTGAAAATAGAGTCTTGGTTGGGAACATTATGAGGTACATGAGCCAGAACCACACATTCTACTCTTCAAGTACGTTACCAGGACATCCCCTTAACCCTTTGTTAAACGCTAATGAATTCATTCAGGAGATCAATTAATTATCAGCCACCAACTCAACAATAGTAAACATGCTGCATTTTATCAAACTCGATCTCGACGAGTCTCTTGATTCAGCATAACACCTTATACAGGAGGACATATGCTTTGACGATGTTACGTCTGATGTCTCTCCTAACTTACACGACTTACACTTTATGGGTTTCAATTATTCGTTTGATGTATTAGATCAGGATTAATTAACATCATCTCCACTGCTATATACTAGTCCTAGTTCATCTTGGGAAGTTAATGATAGCAAGGCTTTTTAGGGCTGGTTGCAATGGATTTAGGGAGTGTAGAAAAGCAGAAAAGAAACCAACACTGAGGATCCGATGATGTATGGTGGCAGGTTCAGCATAAGTACATGCAAAACGGGAGGATGATTGCGGGGGCACAATGGGGGTGACGGTTCTCAGGTTATTGCAGTCTCATTAGAAGACAAGGGTTTACCAAAAAAACAATAAATCATATCTACATACATGTTTTCAACATAGTGTTATTGTGTGACAGTTATTCCGTGCGTGCTTGGTGAGCTGAGACGAGGAAATAGTCGCAAGATTCGAAGGACTAATAAGTAGGGAATCACGCTCGTTGAACCTCGTATGTTGTCGATATGAGGTGATGATGATATTCGATAACATTTGATTCTCACGCATGTCCTTTGATGTGGTGCTTGGTAAAAACTAGGTAGGCCCCTAGTAATCTTTGAACGTGAATCTTCCAAATGGGAGAGACGGAAGAAGAAACAGGAGGATGAATAGCGACATCTTCGAATGTAGATCTAGTACAAGACATTGTAGCAGCCAATTCTATTAATGGTAACCTTAGGTAGAGGAGTCTATTTGTGCCATCAACACCATGATCCGGGCCGTTGAATCTTCGGTTGGATATTCCGTTAGATGTTCCATTACATACTCCATGGCTTTTTTATTTATTTATAAAAGTGGCACTGTTTGATCTCCGGGCTGAAGATCCGATGGAAGGATGAATGAATGATAACAAACCACTATCGACTCTCAAGCCACTCCGGCTCCTTTAAAATGGACAGATTGTAAAAATACTCGAAACATCATCATGTGCTTTCAAATCAACATATCATATATGTTTATATGACTAGTGAAGGATTATGTGTATTTAATTGACTATCAAAATTAAGATCGAAAAGACCAAAAGTTTCATTTTTTAATACATTATTTGCTTATTGAAAGGTGTCTTTAATTTACTACCCATCTAGAAGAATCTGCTCGGAAAGGTTGTCATTGTTCTTCCACCTTACAGAAACTATTTTTGTCTTGACCTTCCTTTCACAGTTACAAGATATCGACAAAAGAGGTTCTCAATACATCAACTTTCTCATACTCCCAACCTATCATATCTCTGGATAATTCAACGTCCTACTTCGGAAACTCCGAAGCTTTTTACTTGTGCCTGGATGAAATTCATCTAACATATCAAACAAAAGGCCAAGTGTCAGTCTCATCATGAAGACCGCCGCTCGAGCATTCTACTTGGGTTTATTTACTCTCTTGAGTACTTGTACTCCTCATGTAGAAGCTTCTGATTCTTCATCCAAATCAAAAACTATTCAAAGTCCAGATGTTTGCGCGGTATGCTTTACTTTTCTTTTACCAGGCATATGTGTCTAATGCCATTACTCAGATCTCCCCAAAAGCTATCGTTTCGGATGCATGTACAACATATGCTACCCTCGATGACCTGAACCGAGAAATATCACCTTCCTTAGACGACCTCACACGAACCACCGATTTCTTTGCCTATTACCGTCTGAACTTATTCGGTAAGGAATGTCCATTTTGGAACGATGAGAATGGCATGTGTGGCAACATTGCCTGCGCCGTAAATACATTAGACAATGAAGAAGATATACCACTAGTATGGAGGGCAGAGGAATTGGGAAAACTCGAAGGACCAAAAGCCGGCCATCCGGGCAAGAAATTACAACAAGAGCGTCCAAAGAAACCACTTCAAGGAAAGCTCGGCGAGGATGTGGGTGAGAGTTGTGTGGTAGAATACGATGACGAATGTGACGAGAGAGATTATTGTGTACCGGACGATGAAGGCGCAGGATCAAAAGGGGATTATGTGAGTTTGGTAGACAACCCGGAGAGATTTACCGGATATGCTGGTGAGGGTACAAAACAAGTTTGGGATGCCATTTATCGAGAGAATTGCTTTTCCAAAGCATCCTTCCCACATTCGGAATCCCTCGGACACTCTCCATTGTCTCTGAAAGAGCCCGCGGCAAACGAACTCAAGTCTGTTCTCAAACAACATGGCCGTCAACACATATTGGAAGAACAACGAGAACATTCCCCAAATCTCCCATTCGTAGCAGAGACCGGTCTTGAATTGGAGGATGAGTGTTTGGAGAAGCGTGTCTTCTATAGAGTCATTTCTGGCATGCACACCTCCATTAGCACACATCTCTGTTACGAGTATTTAAATCAAACTACTGGTGAGTGGGGCATGAATGTTGAATGTTACAAAGACCGTCTACATGGATTTCCGGAACGTGTTTCGAATCTTTACTTCAATTACGCTCTTGTTCTACGAGCAGTCACAAAGCTTGGCCCTTCGCTTAAGGACTACACTTTCTGTTCTGGGGATCCCGCTCAAGATCAAGTTACCCAATCCAAGGTGCAAACTCTAATGTCGAAAGCATCAAAGGAGACTCGAATTTTCGATGAAAGCTTGATGTTTGTTAATGGAGAAGGTCCAAGTTTGAAAGAAGATTTCCGCAATCGATTCAGAAATATCAGTCGAATCATGGATTGTGTGGGCTGTGATAAATGTCGACTATGGGGTAAAGTTCAAACCGCAGGTTACGGAGCAGCGCTTAAAGTTTTATTTGAAACCGATAACAATTCATTGGATGTCCCGATATTGAAGCGAACCGAACTCGTCGCTTTGTTCAATACTTTGGGTCGTATTTCCCATTCTCTCCGCGCTATCAATGAGTTCCGAACTTTGGTAGAAGCAGAAGAGAATGAGTCAGAAGAGGCCATTGAGCTAACAGATCGTGTGACGAAACCACATCATGTTATTCCTGATGAAGTTCACGAAGATCCAATAGTGAAAGATTTTGCGGAATATGATGAGGAGGTGAAGTTGAAGCATAGAGAACCTACCGTCTCGGAAATCTTCTGGAAAGAACTAAGATTGACGTGGAATATCACCAAATATGTTCTTTGGGGATGGTTTAGATCTCCTGTAACTTTGTATGTTTCCCGCTATTATTCCTTACGTGCTTTGATGCAAATGCTTACATATACTTATAGATGGGAGATTTTTGTCCTCGAGATCTCAAGATTTTGGGAATATTATATTGGACTTCCAGTCACTCCTAGAAAATGGACGATTGTGAGACCAAATTTCGATGAACTTTAAAGCGTTGAGAGACAGTTAAAATGTATGGAGTTTAAAGGGTTGTGAGAAATAGCATAGCGTACGGAGTTTTTACTTTAGGGGATCTCTCATGTTTCCTATTAGGGATGTTCTTTCCATAGATAAGTTTCAGTCTTAAAAGGATACTTATTCTGATAGCGTAGCGAAGATATTCAGATCGACGAATTCGAAATTAGATGATGCTTTTGTTATACAAATTTCCATTTCCTTGGGACGTAAATTTGAATTGTTCGCGAGTCTTTCGATGGGACAGACAGAATACATGCATCCGAGTAAGTAGCTGATAAATTAACAGAGCGAATTGAGAAGTAGGAGATCAAGTGTTGAATAAAAGTATGCCGAATACAGATGTTTGTTGACAGACATGGTTGAAGTCCGTTCCCTAGATCAAGATTCAAATCCTTGTGGATGGATGGCCAACCTTCTGGACCATACCTGCACGCTTCCAACTCCCAAATCGGAAGTCATGCGGGAAGCGAAAATGGTAATTTATATATATGCACATGTACACATTATCATTGATGAAGTTTTTTTTTTCGATGAATATGGGGACGAGGGGATAGAGGGGATAGAGGGGATAGAGGATAGAGGGGATAGAGGGGATAGAGGGGGTTTGATTCTATACTCAAAGGAGACAAGACAGTTGCTAAGTGCTTCTGTGATTGAGAAATTGATGTAGATGGGCTTCACAAAAAGAGTAGTATCGTTGACAGTGCATCATCGTCGGGCGATCGTTGGACGTTTTATTATTAGTACTTGAATGGCATGCTGGTACTTGGTTGATCAAAAGATTATTCTCCACTCCTCAGAAATCATGACATGAATCAAGCAGTAGATTTACAGCGGTACGGATAGACAACCAAATCGCTTTGCTGACGAGTAATCTCATAATCATTTACACAATCCTCGTGGTTTACTCCTACCTTTTACTTCCTGTTGATTTCGCGATGCTTGGAGTTATGCTCACTCGGCGATTATCATACTATCTGAATGAGTTGCTCTGATATATCTGGATCTCGACTGCCGCAGCGCAAATACATGACTGTGACTTGCTCTTCGTTCCGGGTATAGTGCTGTCAAACAACAGTACGCCTGCTTGTTGGATGGGCCATGTAGAATCGAAGCACACGTCCTCGCATTTACGGGACTATATTATAAAGGGAAAGATCACAAGTAATCCAAATTTCATTTGACCCAAAATGAGTACTAGGTACTTCTATAAAGTCTCAAACCTTTTGAAGCAACGGTGCTGCTGCACAATGTGTACAATAGTCAGGACTGCAATCTGAACCATTGGACTGGCGCAGAAGCACGAAATGTGTATGTAATTGCGTTTATATGCAAAATCAAGCATCGAAAATATCTACAACATGTCAAGGTATGAAACAATGGTACCCCAATCGTTACAAGAAGTGGCTTTCTTCATCATTTCTCAGCGCACCAACCCAACCCAATGAGATATCCTAACGCCAGATTTCCACGATGCTCTTGATCATATACTTCATATATTTACTGTTATTCATATGTGAAATCAAACCACAAAAATATTGCTAACCGTTAGTCCTTGACTTTCCACATGGTATCTTCGACGGATTCCG